CTGATTCACACACAGAGAGAGAGAGAGAGAGAGAGAGAGAGAGAGGCCGGAAATGATTTGCACTGGGAAAGCTTACGGGGACTGATTCAGAGAGAGAGAGAGAGAGAGAGAGAGAGAGAGAGAGGAGGAGGGAGCAAGGGAGTGTGGAAGGGAGAGAGAAACAAGATCACCCCGCACCTGTCAATTCGCGAAAAAGAAGACGTATTGGATGACGGCGAGAGATCGAGCCCACTGTGCATGTTGCTCTTGAAGGACCATCTCCTTCCCTCAATCTCCTGCAATATCACGGGCAGCAAAAGAGGGGCTGCATTTTTTACTGCGCCGATGGCAGGGGACAAATTCTCCCTTTGATTCGCTAAAAGAGATGCTTGAGTTCATCCACTTACAATAATTTGGACCATTTCTCGATGGATGTATGCGTGTCATCCTTGCGCAGAGGCTATGCTACAGTAGTATTCTCTTCTTCTCTCTGTCTCGTTCCACTCCTTTTTAACGAATGTCCCAAAGGGTATCCATCCTACGCCACAGGAAGATTCCCTCCTGCTCTGTCTTTCAACAAAACACGCTCACGTACGCCTTCCCGCCGCCTGGCTGATCCCTTCCTCCCTACTCCGCCTCCCCTTCTCCCTCCGCTCCCTCAAGCTTTTTGTTTCCTCCCGAGTAACGTCTACTTGCCGCCAGCATCAGTACCCGCTCATATCGACCTCCTCCCCTTACCAGTCAAATTGCACTATTGCCCTCCATGCTCCTCCTCACGGTGATGCTCTCCTCACTTTCGTCTCCCACTCAGCCAACCGATCTTCTTCAGAAAGAATGTCTGCCTACAACATCTGCAACTTTCTATCTCCACGACCTCCTCTCTCCTCGCTTCCGCCTCCACCTAAGCTCGCCGATCTCTAGAAAGACTATCCTCCAACCAAGCTCACCGATCTTAAGGGCCAGATCCCACTAGGCTCTATTGTTCAATTCTGACCGTTGATCTTCGTAATCGAGGGTGAAAAATGAATAATCCACGATAGTGGGATCTGACCCTTAGCAAGACTATTCTCCAACTAAACTAACCGATCTTCAAAAAGAATTCTCTCTCTCTCTCTCTCTCTCTCTCTCTCTCTCTCTCTCTCTCTCTCTCTCTCTCTCTCTCTCTCTCTCTCTCTCTTCCCTCCGGCCCATGGCCCACCCCCGCTTTGGGGCTCCCCCCCTCCGCCCATCCATTTGCCATTCACAGGCTGGATGGACGGATAAGAACACAATAGCACAACACAACACACAATAGAGGCGCTCACCTCTCTCGCATTCAATCGCATTCAAACGCCCGTGGATGGACCGTCGTGCAACGCTCCAGACTTCGCTGGATAGTCCGGGACAGGTCCAGGGCCCTCTTCCATCCCTGGAACGGCAGCAGCTGGAACAGGTTCTCGATCATCGTTCGACTTACCTTCTCCTCCTCCTCCTCCTCCTCCTCCGCCGCCGCCGCCGCCGCCGACTCTTTCTCCTCCTTCCTCCCCCCGAATCCCTCCTCCTATGCTTGCCCTCACTCTTCTGAGCTTTTGCCGCAACTCCTCGTAGTTTTTACGATCCCTTGGCGCCACAGAAGGCACTACGCGTATGAAGGCCGCCTCGAAATGCCGCTTACACACCAGAGGCGGCAGGGAGGGCGCCGCCGCTCGTACCGGTCGTTTATGTCCCTCGCTGCTGGTGATGAACCCATGTCGTTCCCCGCTTGTTCCTCGTGCTTGCTCTTCCTTCTCCTCCTCCCCTTCGTCTTCTCCCCGCTTGGCCCGATTACTCTCTCTCCTCTCCCTTAGTGCCGCAATACATGCTTCTCGGACAAGCGCCGCCAGATCCGCTCCACTGAAGCCGGAACAGCGAGCGTTCCTAGCGATGGCTTTGACGTCCACCTCCGGAGAGAGAGGGGTACGTCGGATTAAAGTCCTCAGGATGGACTCACGACCATCGGCATCAGGAAGAGGAACGTAGAGAAGTTTGTCTAGACGTCCTGGTCTCAGCATCGCTGGATCAATCATGTCAGGCCTGTTCGTTGCTGCTATAAGGTACACTCCCTTCCGCTGATCTAAGCCGTCGATCTCTGTCAAGAGTTGATTAACCACCCTTTCGGCGGCGGCATTTCCATCGCTGCCTCTTCGAGGAGCCATGGCATCCATCTCGTCAAAGAAGAGCACACAGGGCGCAGATGACCGTGCGCGACTGAACAGCTGCCGCACAGCTCTCTCGCTCTCTCCCACATACTTGTTCAGCAGCTCTGGGCCTTTGATTGAAATGAAATTGGCCCCGGCATCACTTGCTATCGCTTTCGCGACTAGGGTTTTGCCGCACCCAGGCGGGCCGTACAACAGCACTCCCGTCGACATGTCCAATCCCATCGCTTGAAATTCCTCTGGCTCGTTGATGGGCCGCGATATGGCGAACTCCAGTTCCTCTCTCACATCACTTAGCGACCCCACGTCGTCCCAAGTCACATCAGGTCTGGTCGAAAAACCCTCCCTGGTGGCAGAAGGCTGTACCTTGGGAATCGCTGCTTCGAAATCTTCCATACGAATGCTCAGCGACATCATGTCGGCTCGAGACAACGGCTTCTTCCACTTCCCCTCCTCCTCCTCATCATCCTCCTCCTCTTCTTCATCCTCCCTGTTCACGCTGCTGGTCGTGGGCGTCGTCATCTCTTCGTCTGGTGCTGTAGTGGCACGCGCAGGGCGTGACACGTCGCGCGCCGATCCGTGAGGATAAGGCAGACGTGCGAAACCCTCCGCCGCCGCCATAGCCGCCGCACCCCGTTGGTCGGGTCCAGCTTCACCCCCTCTCGCCGAAAACTCCACCTCCATAGCGATAGCTCCTCCTCCATCTCCATCTCCGCCTCCTCCTTCTCCCTTCGACCCACTGCGCATCGCATTCTCTTCACCCCACACTACAGGCCCTGATCCTCCTCCTCCTCCTCCTCCTCCTCCTCCTCCAACCGCACCATTCGACACCATAGCCACGCTCTGCCGTTGCTGCTGCTGCTCGTGAGGGGGGGTATCTTCCGCCACCGCACGGGCAAAACGGTCACTGTTCGTTTCTCTGCTCACTGCTGAGAGCGAGGAAGACGAAGAGCGATGCAGCGTGGAGAAGATCCGATTGACGGCTATGGCGGCAGCTTCTTTGCTGAGCGCCGCCAAGTCAGCCCCGACGAAACCCGGAGTCTTCCTGGCAATCACGTCAAAGTCGAACGACCCTTCTAATCTCAGCCGTCGAGACAAGACCTCGAGAATGCGCGCCCGTGCCTGCTCGTCCGGAATACCTAATGGAATCTCTCGGTCGAATCTGCCAGCCCTTCTCAGAGCCGGATCCAGCGCATCTGGGCGATTCGTCGCACCAACGACCACCACGTGGCCCTTTCTCCTCCTCTTCTTCTCATTCCCGACAACAACCCCCCCTCTCCCCCTCCGACCCTCGCCGTTTGCCGCCGGCACCGGCCGCTCCTCCTCACCACCGCTTTTCCCCCCGGTCTCCTCTCGGCCATCCATCGCCGACACCGGCGCATTCAGGTCGTCCATACAAGTCAGCAGCTGCGCCACGATGCGTCGTTCCATCTCTCTCTGCGCCGTCTCTCTCTTCGGTGTGATGGCATCGATCTCATCGATGAACACCATGCAGGGGGCCAATCGAACAGCTTCGCCGAAGAGAGAGCGGACCTTGGCCTCCGACTCTCCCGACATGCCAGACACGATTTCCGGCGCAGAGATGCGCAAGAAAGGCACCTCCATTTCCACTGCTATGGCGTTCGCCAGCATCGTTTTGCCGCATCCCGGCGGCCCGTGGAGGAGCACGCCACGTGGCGGCTCTACGCCCAGCCATTCATAAATCTCTGGATGTCTCAACGGATACTCTATCAACTCTCTAATGGCCGTCAGAGTCGCTTCAATCCCGCCAAAATCCTTGAACCTCACCATCTTCGGCACGGTCAAAGCACTGGACATACGTTCCCCCCCCCCCCCCTAAGCCTATCCCGCCACTACCACCTCCTCCTCCTCCCCCCGCAAAGCCTATCCCCCCACCACTACCACCTCCTCCTCCTGCAGCTCCTCCCTGAGACGTTCTCACTCGTTTGGCCGGCGTAGTCCTTTGAGCAACCGCACGTGCTGCAGCGGAGGCAAGACGATGAGATCGAGAATCGCCGCCCCCACTCACCTCACGCCCTGCATGAGTGTCATCCATCTTTGCGCCACGTGGCACGGTACTCCCTCCGCTTCCGCCATGTGGCAGAGTATCGCCCATCCGTCCACGAGGAAGAGTGTCAACTCTTCCACCCACCGGTGGAAAAAGTCCGGTCTTCTGCTGCACATCCTTCGCGAGCCGTTCTGTCATCATACCCACTCCCATCTCTAACACCGGCGGCGGCCGCAGGGGCGAAGACGACCCCGCCCCAACCGCTGCAAGATTGGAAGCGGGTAGGGGAGGCGGCGGTACAGACTCTCGTTTCCCGTTCAGGAAACTGCTGCACTCACTCCTTCGATTCCCAGCGGCGGCGGCCTGGGCGGCGGCTCCTCCTCTTCCTCCTCCTCCTCCTCCTCCTCTGTCTTCCTCCCTGATCCCTACATCTTCCATCTTCGTTCTCCTCTCCTCCCTCTCGTAGCCAATACCTGCTGTCCCATTCTCCCTCCCTCCGCCTGCCGTCACCATTGCCTTCGCCTGCCTTCTCCCGCCATGGCGATCTTCTTGGCAAAACGCGCCAACGGAACGGGGGGAACCCCCCGCAGTCGGCCTTTCCAAGGCTTCTCTCTCCGGGGAGAGTGGAACTATCTCCTTCCATCTACCGCGCTGTGACCGATCAGGAATCGAGCCGCCGACCTCCGGCCCGCCAACTCCCCCCCGCCGCCCGTTCGAACGAGCACTCCCCCCCCCCGGTGTAGTTGGCGTCTTCATCGGATCCCGAGAGACACACTTGACGTAGTCACTGGATCGCGCCGGCGTGCTCCCCTTACTTCTTCCGACAGCAACTCCTCCTCCTCCTCCTCCTGCTGCTGCCGCGGCTACGGCTGCACCACCCCCACCAGATGAAATACCACATCCATATGCTACCCTTAACGTCCTGTTGAGCATATTATGCCCTTTTGCTCTCTCGTGATCATACATGTCCATCGCAACATCTATCTCATCATCATCATCATCACCTTCGTCCTCGTCACCATCTTCATCATCTTCGTCTTCCTCTTCACCATCGCTGCTTTCAGGACGTCTCGCCGACCTGCCGCTACGGATGTCATGTTGTCCATCTGCTCCGCGCTTCAACCTACCGCCAGATCTAACGGCGTAGCCGCCTGCCACGTCATCGTCTTCATCATCCTCTTCATCCTGCTCATCAGAAGACACGGACAGCTCGACGGCGACGCCACGGCCAGACATCACTTCGACAGGTGGCCCTCTCTTCCGGCTGATATTCAGGTGGCGCTCTTCTTGCTGCTGGAGCCTCCTCTCTTCCTGCTCATTCTGCGACATGCGCCTTCTGGCGATCTGGATTGCACGTATCACCATCTTCCTGAATGGCGCAACCTGCTTGCGTTCATACTCTCTGTAACTTCTCCGTAGATACTCCACCACAGCATCCGCATCACGCAGACTGTTGTTGTATCCGTATTGCTCGACACGTGGCACGAGGAACCGATCCAGCACATACTCTCCATCTCCGGAGCCCCAGCCTCGACCTCGGGGCGGTCTCGGACGGCAGCCGCTTCCCATCCTTCCTTCTCCGATGGAGACCGCCGCTTTACGGGACTTACGCAGGGCAAATCGCCACTGCCATTATAGCGAGGAGAGATTCGTTAGGACTTGTACAGGGGAAACCGCCACTGCCACTATACCTGCCATTACCGAGGAGAGAGTCGTTAGACGGAGGAGCGCCTGATCCGACATTACGTACGGCAGCTTTTTGACAAACTCTGGGATCCCACCTCTTTCTTTTTTTTCTTTTTCTTTTTTTGGGAAAAGTAAACGGGAGAATTTGTCTGGCGCCCCTGTATTTTCCATTTATTTGCATCGCGCCCCTCCGACATGCTAAATACCCTGCCGTGCCCTTGGGCCTGAAAAATTTTCTGGCAGGCCCCCGTCGGTAGTGGCACAACTTTCCATGACGCCCTCCCTCAACTGGCGGTCCCATTCCATTGGGCTATGTGCCATATGCCCTCGTAAGAAGCACCCGTCTTCCTGTGATGCCCCTGCAGCAGTCTGGTGCTGGAAATTTGAATTCAATTTCGAGCAGCGTTCGTGTTGACGCGCCGCTGCCGTTTTTCTTGACGCGCTCGTGAAGGCCAACCTCCTTTCGTCTTTGTTTTCGCTGGCTGTCTACCATCGCAACGTGAGTATCCCCCCCCCCTCTTCGTTTCCGCTCGTCGTCGACACTCGTGTGTGTGTGTGTGTGTGTGTGTGTGTGTGTGTGTGTGTGTGTGTGTGTGTGTGTGTGTGAGAGAGAGAGAGAGAGAGAGCCTATCGACACAGATAATGTGCATTGCAGGGAGGCTGCAGGACGCATGAAATTACGCAGCCAGAGTGTCCCGGTGTCGTTGCACACAAGCAAGGCATGGCAGAAACATGATGACACTCACAAATTTCTGTCATGCCCCGGTAGCTCTCCCAGGCCGGGTGGAAATTCCCCTGAGTGCCTCCAATGGCGACAGGGGCACAGTGAAAAGATCGATGGTACGGGTAGGGGCATATCAGAAATTTCCCCAACGGCTATCCAGTAGGGGCATGACACAAATTTGTTGTGGGTACCGGTAGGGGCACTACGAAAACATGTGAGGCCCAAACGACGCCAGGGGTTTATGAAACATTTCACTACTGGTCAGAGGNTTAAGTACTATGATATAATTGATATATTGTACAAATGCTATACTCTACAGATGCCAATGTCAAAACAAATTATAAATTACAAGAAATACAAGAAAAAAAAAAAAAAAAAAAAAACCACCTCCAAAAAAAAAAAAAAAAAAAAAGTAAACCCACCTCTTTCCGGTTGAGTAGGGCGCGGCGCAGGGAATGGAAGAATGTGGAAACGAATGTGTAGGCGGCAGCACCCGCGTGATCATCGCCGTGAGCCCGCTTCTGAAGTGTTTTTTTATTTTTTGGGAGGTGACGGCTTTGTCATACTATTGTCAAACATCCAGCCGATATGTGAGGTGAGAGAAAAATATATGGTTGTGGCCCGATGAGGAGAAGGCAACGTCCGGTGGCCTAGCTGAGTTTGTACGGGTTCAATTCCCATGGGCTCATGTACCTTCCTGGGCAAGCTTGGCGCCCGCCACCTACTGTAGAGATGTTTTTTTGGGAAAAGTTTCGAAATGCCCCTGAAGTTTGCATTTATTTGCGGCGTGCCCCTCTGACAGCAGACTTACCTTGTTTTTTTTTTGTTTTTTTTTTTGTTGTTGTTTTTCAATCATCGGGGACAGGCGACTACCGGGCAAGCTGTAGGAGAGCCTGCTCGGTTGGGGCCTGCACAGTTCGATGGCTCCAATCAATTGGTGGGGAGCGCATCCCCCATCTCAAATAACAATTCACAATAAGGTTCCATGACCACAGAACAGACTCGACAGACCTCTTCACCACGTAGGCGCCAGAAACAACTTGATCTCCTGGTCTACGAGTTGTCCCCTAATCCCATACTCGGCGAGGCAGACGCAAGATGTGACATTCTACCAAAGACCAGGAAGGTGGTGACTTGAGCAGGTACTACTATTAATAGACTGAATCTGAATTCCGCCAGACTTACCTTGTCGCGCCCCTCTGACCACGAATGATGTTTCCAGAAAACCCCTGGCATTGTTTGGGCCTGAAAAATGTTTCATATGCCCCTACCGGTACCAGTACCAAATTTTCAGTATGCCCCTACCGGATGGCCGTTGAGAACCAGCACAAAAGTTTTCCATGTGCCCTTATTGGTACCGTCCATCTTTCCAGCGAGCCCCTGTGGCCGTTGTTGACACTCGCAGTCTTTCCCCTGGCCCAGGGAGAGATGCTACCGGGGCATATCAGAAATTTGGCAATGAGCATGGACACACACACACACACGCACACATGCACACACAACATACACACACACAC